GGGGTAGGGGTAGGGGCTTCTCCACTGCCCCGTTCAAAGTTCTATAGCTGGGGGCTTCTTGCTTGCTTCTGGTGTCCATCACATGGATGTGTCTGGAATGAGCTCTCCCTTCCCCTGAGTGTTGTTTCCAAGGCTGGCACCACAGTTGCAGATCAGGATGCTCCCTGCTTCTGTTGCGAGGATGAACAGAGGAAGGGCTTTGGGATAACTGGCACCATTGTAGGGATTCTCAATTCCCAAACATCGCCCCCCCACCACTTTTTTTGGTACCAGGGATCAAACTTGGGACCTTCCACTTTTGAGGCAGGTGGAGGCACCACTGAGCTAAATCCCCAGCCCTCCCAAATATTCTCCCAAGTAGAGGGGCTCCCACCTGTGTCATCTGACCACACACCACCATTTGCCAAGCAGGAGTGAATGTATATATCCCATCTTCCCAGAAGTTCTTGCTATAGACACAAGCAGTGAGTGGGACTGGACTCAGCTGAAAATCAGCAGTGCACCTGAGACAACTCACTCATCCAATCTCACTCCTACTTTCACCTCTGGAAACTGGGCTAGTAATCTGTCAGACACCAACACTGAGTTTTATAAAAAATAAGTGAATTTGGGCCAGGGATTTAGCTCAGTGGTTTCGCCGCCTGCTGCGCAAGTGCAAGGACCCAAGTTCGATCCCCAGTACCAAAAAAAAAAAGTGAATTTAATTTGAATGAAGTACTTGGTTGGTGGTATAGTGCTCTTCAAATGTATCTTTACTAAAAATAAGCTTAATAAATAATCACAAGCCAGGGATGGTAACACATGCCTGCAATCCCAGCACTTGGAAGGCTAAGGCAAGAGGACTGCTGTGAGTTAGAGGCCACCTTCAGCTACACAGGCCAGCCTATACTACAAAGCAAGACCCTGACTCAAAAAAACCAAAATAAATAGTCACAATAATTCTGGCATGTAATGGCATTCAATTAACTAAAATGCGATGATGATGGAGTGGGGGGCAACTATCATCTATGTAGGATATTAATAATAAAAGTTTCTAAAAATTTTTCTAAAATCTTCTATTCTCACCATTCGAAAGTGACAAGTTTATTATTAAAGGAAAGAAGAGGGACCCTTATCTTTGTAGGAGCACAACTTTTTTTTTTAGTGGCCACTGGTGTTAGTTTAAAAAAACAGAAGTTAAGATTAGAGCTTATAAACCTAAAGCATACACAGCATTTAATCTCAGGAACTAAAAGTAATTATTTTAGGCATGCTAGTAAATTTTCTTCATACATATTTATTTTTAATTGCAAAATGTTTTAATATTTGTTTATTGTGTGACTCTGTTAATGTGTACATTATAGCCTTTTGATATTTTTGTTGGCTAAGTATAGGTAGCCTGTCAGCCAAATCCAACCCATGGCATAGACTCTTCTGAGACCCTACTGTGAGCTGTGCCTACATGAAGGTTCATATAAAACTGTGTCTGACTTTAGAGTCTCCTAGAATCATTCCCTCTTGAGTTCCAACCCAACCTAGGGTTATTAAATGTAATGAGACGGGCTGGGGATTTAGTTCAGTGGTGCTGCACCTGTCTCGCAAGTGCACGGTCCTGAGTTTCATCCCCAGTGTGGGGGGTTGGGGGGGAACATAAAAAGAAATTAAAATGTGTTATCTATATGTACCAACTCCCCACAATGAATGTAATCATTATGTACTGCAAACACGCCTTAGTAGCTGGATGTGATGGTGCATGCCTGTAATCCCAGCACTCAGGAGGCTGAGGCAGGAGGATCACTGCAAGTTCGAGGCCAGCCTGGGCTACACAGTGAGTTCAGGGCCAGCCTGAACTACAAAGGGAGACCCTGCCTCAAAAAACAAAAACAAAAAACATGCATTAGTAATTTTTTAAAAAAATAAAAGAGGAAATAAAACAGAAAATATCAGTCATTATTCTAAGATAGGTATTCATTCTGGGCATAGTGGTGCATGCCTGTAATCCCAGCACTTAGGAGGCTGAGGCAGGAGGATAGCCATGAGTTCAAGGGCAGCCTGGTCTACATAGTGAGTTCAAGGTCAATCTGAGCTATGTAGTAAGACCCGGTCTTAAAAAAAGTATTCTGTGAAATTTTAGCTTCAGTTTTATACATGTGGTATAAAATATATTTCCTTACTAGAGGATACATATTTTTGATGTGTAAAAGTCACTACATAAACTTCACTTTTCAATTATTCTTTGTCATCAAGAACTTACATTACAACTTGTGATCACTAAGCAAAAGGAAAGAAGGGAGGAGGGAGGAAGAGCCTGCCAGGAAACAGTGGCCTTCTCGAGCATGGTGGGTGGTAGTGGGATGGCAGTGTCCTTCAGGAAATGTCTGGAAACAAGTGGGAGGAGACAGAGGTGCTACTTGAATTTAGCTCAGTTACAATATATTGAGAAGCATGCAGGGCCTTTCAGATCATCACAATCCTTAGGGGTACATGTACTAACATTTAAATCACAGAATCCAGGGACACAATATCCTGTAATGACAGTGCAATCCCACACAAAGAATTATCCCATAGCAGAACTGCCACAGAACCTTCCCAGCCCTTAGTGAGAAACACTGAAAGTGTATTTGGGGATCCTCTGCCCTCCTGCCTCTTGCCTAAAATATTCCTAAAGGGGAATTGAGGCTGGGGATTTAGCTCAGTGGTTCTGCTGCCTGCCTCACAAGCACAAGGTCCTGAGTTCGATCCCCGGTACCACAAAAAAAAAAAGAGGAATTGGTCATAAGCACGAAGGCATGGAGCTTTGTTGCAGAACCTAAGATTCTGATCTGAATGGCCTGCAACTATCCTTTTTCAGCTCCTCCACCCCGGCAATACCATGCCACCCCTATGCACTGGGGAAGGAGAGAAGCAACTGGCATCAGGGGCAGCCTGAGTCACAGAGCCACCTTGAGACAAGATATTAGAGCCTGTACCAGGAACCTACCCAAGACCTTAACATAACTCTGAAATCATAATTGCACAAGGAAAATGGGAGTCATTGTTAGTTTCCAGTTCCACTGTCATCTGAAATCCATTAACATGGAGCACATGAGCCATAATATTATGTAAGTCACAAAAGTCTTCTGCTTCCTTGCTCCTACAATTTTTACTCTTCCTGCTAAGATATGGAGTTTCAGCTATTCCTCTTCACAAGGCTAAATGACCCTGTCCTTTCCTTGCAAGTCCTGTCAATCATTTTGACAGGACCTGTGCTACAGCACAAGGGAATCAATATATTAGATGAAGCCCTGCTATACTAACCCCACAGATACCATAGTAACTTTTTTTAAATGACAGATGCTCTAAATTTATTCCCAGTTTTATTGTCTTTAGAAATAAACTTACCAGATCATTTGAAAAGTACTTCTGAGAATGAAGACCCAGAGACGGTGGAAGCAGAGACTACCCATATACACACAGACATAATGAGGCCAAACTTCCCTTTCCCAGTCTTTCTTCATTCAAGATTAACAAGCTCTCCCAATACTCTGTTCTGTATTGCTAGAAGTCAATTGAATTTCTGTACAAAGTCACATCTACTGAGATAAAGGATCTAAATCAGGATTCAGAAATAACATGATTCCAGAATATGAGACCAGGCAGGGAACTGGCATTTCACTGAGAAGAAAGAAAACAAATACCACCTGACAGAATCAACCCGGATGAGGTTTTCCAGGCCCACACACAGATCACCTTCCACCTACTTCAATTTCTTGCATCTCATTAACAGTAAATTCCTGAGGTTTACATGGGTAATGTTTTCCTGTTTTATACAACATGATGGCATAGTCTCTAATATCCTCTTATTCAAGGCTGTCATTTGATTCAGTTCACCTTACTGTCACAGTGCTAACTGCCCCAGCCTCCCCTCCTCTTCTTACCCACCCATCTATACACACTCCTGAGTTTAAGCAGGGCCACTGGACACCTGATTAGCCTCCATGCTCTCCTTCTCTCTTTCCCTCTCCTAGGGGCTGGAGCAGAGGTGAGGTACAGGTGTGACTGCTTCAACCATTCGGATGAGGGTAATCCTGAGCAATCAGAGAAAGAACTGAAGGCCTTTCACATGAGGGTGACCATGGGAGAATGCCAAAACAGTAAGATAGAAGGAAACCAATTCCCCAAGTCCATGAGTGAAATCCTGACCTAGACTCTTGCCTAACCCTGAACCATTTATGATGTAAGAAACTTCCATTTCATTTAAGCCTCTATTTGGGGTGGGGGTGGGGTGTTGTGGTTTAGATCTAGAATGCCCCTCAAGACTCATATTAAGAGGCTTTTGGAAGGTGGCTGGATCATTAGGACACTACATTCATCAGTGGATTAATCCACTGGTGAGTTCAGAGCTAAATGTACTATTAGGAGGTGGGGCCTGGTTGGAAGAGGTGAGTCACTGGGCAATGTGACCTGGAAGGTCCTCAGCTGCTCCCTTTACTCTGTGCTTCCTGGTTGCCACAAATTGAGCACTTTTTCTTCCATCGGGCCCCCTACCATCCCATTTCTGCTTTGGAGTCAGCTGACTATAAGCTGAAACCATGAAACAAAATAACCTCTCTTCCTTTTGTGGAAGGAAGTGGGTGGAAGTTGTGGGTGTCAGGTATTTTGTCCCAGCGACAAGAAAGTGACTAGGACAGGACTTTGTTACAGCAGCTTAGTTTTTATCCAAACCAGTCTATACCCTTGCTGAATGTCCCCAACTCAACCTTTGTCATGCCAGGAACTTGAGGCCAGACCTCTTTGTGCCAGAGCACACAGGAGAAATCAGACTTTAATCCTGCCATCTCAGAGCTCTAACACTATACTGCCTGGCACCAGGAGGCCTCCAGGACCAGTCAGCATGAAGAAAATCTTGTTGTGGAGAAGAGCCTACCAAGTCTAACTTGGGAACTAAGTCAATGGTTATGATTTAACTAAAATGACCTCTTGTGGGAAGGCTCACAGGAAAATTTGAGAGATCTTTACAAAAGAGAAGCAGTCCCTGCTACTGACTATACTTATGACCAGAAGAAAGTTCACATGGCCATGCTATAGCACTGAACAGAAGCCATTAAAGAAGTGTAGGGCAGGACCTGAATTCAGGTCCTGGCTCCACCCCAGGAAACCATGGAAGAGTGGCTGCCTACTCAAGGCCCCAGTTGCTATACTTGGTGAAGTAGATTAGGTTATAAACAAAGAAACAGACCCCTGCCCCAAAAGAGACGCCAGTAAGAGCCACATATCCATCAGGGCTTACATAAACTTGGGTCATCTGACATTTAGAATGTGACCACAGAAGGAAATTCACACTCATTTCCACTCCTGAAA